CAGAAAAGCATGGCTACAACCAAGAGAGGATCCCTCCCCTGCCCTCCCCAGGAGGCTTCCACCAGAAGGGGGCAAGGCACTGTCTGAAGAGCAGAGCCAGGGCGCCCTCCTGAAACAATAGGAATAGCAAGGTCAGGGGGAGGCCCTGCCCCAGATCACTGTTCCCTACACCTCTGCCATAGTGACTTGGTAAAAAAGTGAGCTGTACAGTTCCTATCCCTTAAACATGGGTAATAAGTATTATTTGTAGGTGTTTTCTATTTAATACTTCTTTATAACACATATACCTTAATAAACATATTTTACGCCATAATCTTTGTCTATGCTTCCAGTTTTCAATTTCCTAAGTAGATCAAATTCTTCCCCATCCCTGATAAAAATTATTCCGTATACATTCATACTCGGTCCATATTCACATGTCATGGTCTTTCAACAATAACAAAAATGTGCATTATGTATAGCCCATCTTATATTACAAAGGGGATCGGAGGTAGCTAACTAAAATACATATGAACAAAAGGCTGAAAATTAAATAGATTTCAGAAAAGAGTAGGGCCAAGAGAAAATAATGGTTAATGAAATAAATTCACAAGAAGTTAATATCAGCCTAGCATTTGTTGGTACACACAGAAACTTCCACATACACTTCAGTCATTATGCTGCCTTATACATTCATGCAACAGTTCTGTGAAGGTGGTACGATGCCCACTTGACAGACAAAACAACTGAGTTTCAGAGGGTTAAGTATTTTCCTCAAGGCTATACAACAGTTAAATCACAAGTTAGAATTGAATATAGAACTCCAAGTGCCAGACTCCATGTGTCTCAAAATACACAGTACTGTTTCCCTAAATCTACAGGCCTGGTTTCTGGACAAGGCTCTGTCATCAACTAGCTGTGGGTGCTGTGGGTGCTGAGCAGATCCCCCAGCTCCAGATCTCGGTCTTCCCTGCAGCAGGATGGGAGTGAAACGGACCTCTGTAAGATCCATTTCGGCTCTGACCATCACTGGACTGACTGACCATCACTGGACTGACTTTCACCTGTCCTTTTGCAAAATGATGGCTTATATGGATGTTGGCTCTTCTATTTTTAACGTTAGAGTTTATTTCCAAGAGAAATAATTTTTGTGGGTGTGACTATAAGGTTGTAAGTCAAGCTCTGGATCAGGTCTGGTTACAAGATTAATCCACAGACTCGTAAAATGTCTGCAAAATAATCTGTTAGATGGGAATATATTACCAATGGTGAAAACTGGCTAGGAAACATTGAGCCCAGACCTCCTCAAAAACAAGCTCCTATGTTAAATGAGGCCTTGGCTTCTCTCCTGGGCCTCTAACCAGGGGCCCCTCTCTCCAGTCTAGTAAGCGGTGGTTCTAGAGAAGGTGCCAACAGCATCAAAACTGCAGGCCCCCCACATGACTAAGAAAGTTTGGGTAACATTTTTCCTCTCACCCTTGGCAGCAGAGGTACAAGATTTCTCTTGCCCTTAGGGGGATCTCTCCTTGTACACAGCGGCTGAGGCAGCGCTCCAAAACCAGGCAACGCTGCTGCCCAAGAGAATGTCTCCTCTTGGCTGTCCCTGGTACCCAGAGGGTGGGCCTTGGCAAGAGACCTCCAAGGAAATCCAAGACTTCTGCTACACCCTCCCCAGGTCTTCCAGGTGGAGTTAAGAACAAACATTAGTGTGTCAGCCATCTTACGCCATTGGAAAGACCCTGACCGAGTAGGAGGGTAAATTAACTTAGAAGATTTCTGATGCTTCTGATTGTGAGCTCTCTTTCTTTCAGAAGACACTTAAGAAATTTCTTTCTCATCCTTTTCCTCATAAGCCAACAGGTTCAGAGACCTTCCCTAATTTCCCCTTAAAGCCTGGAAGTAGCCAGAAAACCAGGAAGCTCCAGCAGTAGTCTCTGGCTCATGGGAATCTGTAGGCAGTTCCTATCCCTTAAACATGGGTAATAAGTATTATTTGTAGGTGTTTTCTATTTAATACTTCTTTATAACACATATACCTTAATAAACATATTTTACGCCATAATCTTTGTCTATGCTTCCAGTTTTCAATTTCCTAAGTAGATCAAATTCTTCCCCATCCCTGATAAAAATTATTCCGTATACATTCATACTCGGTCCATATTCACATGTCATGGTCTTTCAACAATAACAAAAATGTGCATTATGTATAGCCCATCTTATATTACAAAGGGGATCGGAGGTAGCTAACTAAAATACATATGAACAAAAGGCTGAAAATTAAATAGATTTCAGAAAAGAGTAGGGCCAAGAGAAAATAATGGTTAATGAAATAAATTCACAAGAAGTTAATATCAGCCTAGCATTTGTTGGTACACACAGAAACTTCCACATACACTTCAGTCATTATGCTGCCTTATACATTCATGCAACAGTTCTGTGAAGGTGGTACGATGCCCACTTGACAGACAAAACAACTGAGTTTCAGAGGGTTAAGTATTTTCCTCAAGGCTATACAACAGTTAAATCACAAGTTAGAATTGAATATAGAACTCCAAGTGCCAGACTCCATGTGTCTCAAAATACACAGTACTGTTTCCCTAAATCTACAGGCCTGGTTTCTGGACAAGGCTCTGTCATCAACTAGCTGTGGGTGCTGTGGGTGCTGAGCAGATCCCCCAGCTCCAGATCTCGGTCTTCCCTGCAGCAGGATGGGAGTGAAACGGACCTCTGTAAGATCCATTTCGGCTCTGACCATCACTGGACTGACTGACCATCACTGGACTGACTTTCACCTGTCCTTTTGCAAAATGATGGCTTATATGGATGTTGGCTCTTCTATTTTTAACGTTAGAGTTTATTTCCAAGAGAAATAATTTTTGTGGGTGTGACTATAAGGTTGTAAGTCAAGCTCTGGATCAGGTCTGGTTACAAGATTAATCCACAGACTCGTAAAATGTCTGCAAAATAATCTGTTAGATGGGAATATATTACCAATGGTGAAAACTGGCTAGGAAACATTGAGCCCAGACCTCCTCAAAAACAAGCTCCTATGTTAAATGAGGCCTTGGCTTCTCTCCTGGGCCTCTAACCAGGGGCCCCTCTCTCCAGTCTAGTAAGCGGTGGTTCTAGAGAAGGTGCCAACAGCATCAAAACTGCAGGCCCCCCACATGACTAAGAAAGTTTGGGTAACATTTTTCCTCTCACCCTTGGCAGCAGAGGTACAAGATTTCTCTTGCCCTTAGGGGGATCTCTCCTTGTACACAGCGGCTGAGGCAGCGCTCCAAAACCAGGCAACGCTGCTGCCCAAGAGAATGTCTCCTCTTGGCTGTCCCTGGTACCCAGAGGGTGGGCCTTGGCAAGAGACCTCCAAGGAAATCCAAGACTTCTGCTACACCCTCCCCAGGTCTTCCAGGTGGAGTTAAGAACAAACATTAGTGTGTCAGCCATCTTACGCCATTGGAAAGACCCTGACCGAGTAGGAGGGTAAATTAACTTAGAAGATTTCTGATGCTTCTGATTGTGAGCTCTCTTTCTTTCAGAAGACACTTAAGAAATTTCTTTCTCATCCTTTTCCTCATAAGCCAACAGGTTCAGAGACCTTCCCTAATTTCCCCTTAAAGCCTGGAAGTAGCCAGAAAACCAGGAAGCTCCAGCAGTAGTCTCTGGCTCATGGGAATCTGTAGGATTAGCTGGTTTTTAAGAACTATAAGGTACTTCTTTCTCCTTTCTTAGAGGAGAGTATCTAACAGAAATCAACCTAAAACCTGCCCCAAATCATAAAATCCAACTGGCACTCTGAAAGGCCTGTAGGGGTCCAGCCAGAAGACCCATAAATCATCACATTTCCTTTATACTCATATCACCTCTCAGTTCCAATGCCTTTTTAAAAAGTCTGATTCTAAAATTAAAATGTATAGAAAACTTACGAAGATGATTAGCCCAGGGAATTAAAGCTGACACGTTAACATGCCGAGGAAGTCAGATCCCTAAGGCTAGCGTGAGAGTCCAAAAAATGGGGTGATGTGAATATCAACAACTTCCCCACATCTACAAATGCAAAATGAAATGGAATTGCTCTGAGTAAAACGTCAATGCACATTTTTTAAAAGTGAGCATAAGAAGGTCAATTACCCTAAACTCCCACATACATACATTGCATGGTGCTGGAATCAAAGCCTAGCTGGGAAAGCCCAAGCACAGTAAATGCATCCAAAATGAGAACAGTTCTCTCAGAACTGGTATCTTACAGTTGGAGGGGTGCTTGGAGGAGCAGAGTCTAAGTGCTCATGCATGCACATTCCCACAACGTGGAAATCCAGCCTGTGAATGCTCTCCAGGCCTTGAATCTGCTGCTGATACATTGGCATGATAGAAACGGCGAAAACTGAGGAAGCAGAACAATGCTGAATAAACATTCCCTGATAATGCAAAATGCTTTGTTTTATCCCAAATATTAAAAGCTCTTGATGGCACACTATTTCAGAAGCACATACTTAGCATATGAAAGACTGACCTCCATTCCCAGCTGAAAATGCTCTCAAGTTGGCCCAGCACAGCAGTGACCTAGTTCTTCTCTCACCTTCCTTCCATGCAAACATACAGATCAGAACACATCTATCTCCCTTCCAGGGTCAAAATTCATCACTGGGATTACTGCCACCCAGAAGGCCACGACCAGCATTTTCTAAGCGGCTCTAAAGCGTGGGGATAAGGCTAGAGGAGATGGGGCCTCTTACATAAGCCACTTGTGAAGCTGATTCTGGCCAACTGGGTATTTATGCAAACTGACATCGAAGGATGAGAAAGGTAAAATTTGAAAACAGAAACAAATATATCCAGATTTCTTTACAATTCCTTGCAGTCAACCTCTGGGGTTAAATGATGTTATGGGTAGAGTGAAAACTTTCTACACGTTTTGCATAATGGCACACATGTGTGCTGAGTTGGGCGTGCGCGTCTGTGAGTGTGTGCTTACGTGTGTGGTTTTCACATACCCAGTTCACTCTCTGCTAACATCTTACCTGCCACTGGTTTCCTGTCTGACCGGGCATATAAGGGGCTTGACCGGGCATATAAGGGGCTGGGAGGCTCCGAAGGCTGTTCTTCACAGGGGAGGCCCCGAGAGGGTTTCCCACGTCCCCGGAGGGGGAGTCAGCGGCTAAGGCCATGGAGTACTGCGGGTAGTTGTACAGGTTGTTGTAGTAAGGGAACAGAGACGGCTGGTAAAAGCTGCTGTAGTAGGTGGAGTCAGAAACGAGGTCAGGTGTGTTCTCCACGTGCCCTCTGCTGGTGGCAGCAGGAACATCCTGGATGACCACCCGGCCCTCTACCAAGAAAAAACAGAAAGAAAAAGACAACATGGTATTAATATGGGGGCCTACAGAACTTTACCTCTAAACCTTGCCAGCGTATGGCCTTCCTCCTCAAGATCTGCAGAGCTTTAGACCAAGGCACCTGGGCATGCTCCTGCAGTCGGAATACAGCAGGGTTCCTAAGGTTGGCGTAACTCTGGAGGCACAGCTGGAAGACCCTTGGTGATTATTTTTACTGAGAATACCAAAAACATTTTAGGCAGGGGTCATTTTACTCACATAAAGCCCTGACCAGGTCTAACTTCTACCTAGACATTCCTATCCTAATGTCAAGAAATTAGAGATCAAATCTAGTTAACTTGGCTGTCTGCAACAGTCTTACAACAAAATTAACTGTATCTCACTTTAAATTAATAAAAGATCCTAGTGCCCTTTCTATGTGTATGTCCACACAGATATATCCGAGAGCCAAAGCAAGAGGCTAAAAGTTTAAGAAAACATTGTTTCCTTCACTTCCTTCTAACCGCTGATACTGAATCCTGAAGTCTGGACAATGGTATAGACCCTGGGAGACAAACTTCTGTAAAAGGTCAGTTAGTAACTGTTTTAGGCTTTGTGGCCATTCCTCTGCAGAATGTACAGGCTGCTGCGTGATTGTGTTGCAATAAAACTTTATTCACAAACACAGGCAGTGGACCAAAGTGATCCGCAGGCTGAAGTTTGCCAACCCAGGGTCTAGATGTTAAGCTGTCAATTCCAATAAACAACTGAATGGACTCCTAAGTCATCTCTCCAATAGACATTTATTAAACAATGTTCTAAGAGTTGGCCAAGTGCCTAAACTGGCTGCAAGGTATCAGGTTGCCCCTGCCCAATGACAGTCTACAGTATAGGATGGACGATGGGATTACAGATTATAACAAGGACTCTCATACAGGAACACCCATAAACTTTTATGGAAACTCAAAGGCTGGAAAGATGACATGCAACCTAGAAAGGAATTACAGAGACTGTCAAAGAAAAAAACTGCACCTGCATTGTACTTTAAAAGAGGAGCAGGAAATAGGTGAAAATGAGAAGAAGAGAGTACTAAGAACAGGGCAGCAAAGACAAAGGGATGGAAGCAGGAAAGTGGGAGGGGACCTTGGGAGTGATGGACAGGGCTGTCCGGTTAAGAACTGCAAAAAGGGCAAAAGAGGGACAGTCTGACAGGCGGGCTGCAGCCAGGCGAGGGGAAGCCTCAGGCCAGCTCTCTGAACTCTTTCCAGGCTGTGGTGGGAACCACTGAGGATATCCGAGCAAGGAGCACAGAGGATCAGAGCTACACTTTGGAGCGTTTCAACTGATGGCAATTCTTAAGACAAGCAAAGGGAAGAGAGCCCAGAGGCAGGGAGAGCCACCAGGCAGCCACTGAAGCAGTCAGGGACTCAGCAGACTGCAAATACCAGAGACACGGGGGAGATGAGCTCAAGAGAACTGAAGGACTGAGGGGCATCAGGACGCGAGACGCAGGAAAAGCCAAAGAGGAAGAGCAGGAGGCCTGGGGTGGCAGCAGAGATGCAGGTAGTAAGTCAGCTTCATCACGCAAGGGGCCAGAGGGGCACGGACATGGGGGACAGGAGCCAGGCCGAGAAAGTCCACACCTACACTCATGGGAGAGGCTGAGGTTGGAAGCTGAGATTCAGAAGTCACCACAGGGAGATGCTGGCTGCATCCGGGAAGAGGAGGGAGCTGTTACGGAAGAGTATGTTCTGAAAGGAGAAAACAGTGCCAAGGCCAGAACCCTGGAGGATGGAGGAGAGAACGCAAGGCCACAGAGGACCAATTCGACAGGGATGGCAGAGGGGCAGGCTGCAGTGTCGACCCTGCTAAGAGATCGAGCAAAATTAGTTCTGGAAAAGACCCATAGAGGGCTGGGTCTTTAGGGCCCTGTGCTTTTAGCACAGTGTTGGAGAAGCAGAAGCCTTCGAGAGATGAAGGAGCAAGTGAGCGATGAGGAAACAGATGAATACGGTGAACAGCATCTCTCTGATGGTGAACAGCCTTCTCTCTGGTCAGAAGGGACGACGCAGTGAGCAGCGCCACCGTGCACCCCCCCCCCCCCCCCCCCCCCCCGCCCC